TTGCGGAAACGCAAGGGCCTAAACACGTTTCAGTTACGTTGCAGCGGTGCAATCGAACCTCAATGGATGGTCTTCTTGCCGGGTATCTACTGGGGGACGTTATCACGCGAGCGACAGAAATCATGGATTATCCAGTGTTGCAATACTTGTGTGGATTACATGGTGTTGGTCTTACCGTAAGCCCCTTGCATGATCATATTCAGGGGATTGTACACTATCAAAATCATCCTCTCCCAAATTTTCTGCACCGATGCTTAAATGTGGCAATTGCTACCGAAGCACCCCTCCTCTACCACCACGGCTCATCTCCACTGTTTGAGGAATACGGAACAGCAATGAAAATATGCGGCCTGAGTTTTCTTGATCTTACGGAATTGGCTCGAAATAGCGTGATGATATCCTCTTTTCCGCTGGAGACCAAGAAGGAATGGCTAGGGGAAAACTTTAACCGGGGAGTTGAGGGAAATGCATTTGAATTGAGTCAAGTGACAAACGTGCGCCTTGCATTCCGTGAGGAGTCATGGGACTTGGAACGTGGCATGCTGAAGGATTTATATATCAACCGAAGTCTCCCACGCGAAGCGATAGGGTCGAGTCGTTGGCATTACATTAGTAATGTGAAGGAGGTGGAATATCACACTGTGCTGGATACGCGAGTTCGTTTTCCTCGCACAGTCCTGAATGGCCCCCACAAGGAAGTAAAGTGGGCTGTCAGTGCCGCACGAGGCATCGCTCGGGCAATGGATCTGCGCTTCAAGTACATTTGGGAACCTCCAAATCCGTGGGAGGTGACACAACAGCGCTCCGTGGAGGCCGATTTTCAACGAAAAACCGACAGTTTCAACGAGGACGACTGGACGTATGCCGCAAATGACGCCGTCTTTATTTCCTTCCCCAAAAATGTCGTCCATGCATGGCCTCGACAGCTTCCAACGGTGGAGAAATTCCGCAACGATTTAAAGGAGCTACAAGACATTTGTGCATCCTCGGATGTGAAGGACTTTTCACAAAAACGACTTGAAAATTTGGAACATCGGTTTCGTCTTCATCTTGCCCTGAACCACGCCAACGAGGCGGGAACGACGGAGGATCGTGTTTCTTCAAACCGCGATATTTATCAGGCGGTGAAGGTTGACACACACATTCACATGGCGGCCGGTATGACCGGACGACAGCTTTTGAGTTTCGTTGTGAAGAAGCTCATGTATAGTGGGGACGATATTGCCACGAAGAGGGGGGATTTGATTCACACCCTTGGTCACTTCTTTAAGAAGAATGGCATCACCAAGAACCTGACCGTGGATCAGTTGAACGTGCAGGCAGACCACACCTTATTTGAGCGCTTTGACAATTTCAACAATAAATACAATCCAATGGAGAACCCGGAGCTTCGCTCATTACTTCTGAAAACGGATAATTTCATGAAGGGACGATACTTTGCGGAGCTGATTCAAGATGTGTTTGCGCAGTACTCAAGGGATCGCCACACATATGCTGAAAACCGTGTTTCCATTTACGGTATTAACATCAGGGAATGGGACAATCTTGCACTCTGGTTTTCCACGCATGGGATGTCGTCTAAACATAACAAGTGGGTCATTCAAGTACCGCGTGTGTACAAGGTTTTTCGTGCACAGAATTTGATTGGGAGTTTTGGACAATATTTACAAAACATATTTCAGCCACTCTGGGAAGCCTCACTGCATCCTTCCGAGCATCCTTTGATACATCACTTTTTAAACCACATGAGTGGGTTTGATTCTGTCGACAATGAAGCAACACTTGATTTGCCATTTTTACCAGTGTCACCATGGGCATGGACATCCGTAGAGAATCCTCCATATAATTATTATTTGTACTACTTGTATGCCAACATCCGTACACTTAACGAATTTCGGGCATCACGAGGATTTTCAACATTTGCGTTGCGTCCTCATTGTGGCGAGTCAGGGTCGGCAGAGCATCTTTATGGCGCTTTCCTCTGTGCAAACAGTATTTGCCACGGCATCAACCTTCGGGATGACTTTCCAATGCAATATTTGTTTTATCTTTCGCAAATTGGCTTGCACGTATCACCACTGAGCAACAATGCTCTCTTTCTACGTTTCTTGAAGAACCCGTTTCCGGAATTTTTTCGCCGCGGTTTAAACGTCTCACTTAGCACAGACGATCCATTGATGTTTCACCAGACACAGGAACCCCTTATTGAGGAGTATAGTATTGCAGCACGCGTGTGGGGCCTTTCTCCCAATGATCTCTGTGAGATTGCACGTAACTCGGTATTGCAGTCTGGATTTGACTACGTGTTCAAGCGAGATGCCATTGGAGATCAATGGTACATGAGCTCCTCCCTTGGAAACGATTCTTTGCGAACTCATCTCTCTGATATCCGTGTCGCCTTTCGGTTTGAGACATACCACACAGAGATGGATATTCTTGAATTGTGTTCTGGGCGTCCCATCAAGCGTTGCATGCTCACAACGAATCAAGAAGAGGAAATCAATGAGAAAAATTTTGACGTTGAACCTGAGAAAGTCATTCTGTCAACGCACGATCAGGCAATAGAAATCATGCTCCGCGAAGTTGAAACAGGGCGGGAACAACTGCGTGTCTCGCGGGTAAAGGTGGACGCTTTGCGTCGACAGCAAAAGTCGCTTGTGGATAAGCTGACAGAGTTGGCCATACATCAACAGGAAATGCAGGAGGAGGCTGAACGCTGCAATCGCGCGGAGGCCTTACGCTACGAGCGGCGTCCTCCCACACCGCCTGATGCGGCATTTATGACGTCTGAGCGGGCGACAGTGCAGCGGCTCCTTCGATGGCGTCCAAAGCCATTGGACGTATTGAACCATACGACGGAGTCATCTGTGCCACTGAGGAACCCTAGAAGGTTGCCCAGTTTGAATGCTCCTAGCATCGGTTTCCGGCGCACCATTTAAACTACCATATATGCAGATGTACATATATAGTATGGAAAATACTTTGAAATGATGTAACTTTCATTTTTTTTTTTTTTTTTGCTACTTTTAATGCTTGAATGCAAATTTCCTTCACTACATATATTTATATTTTTATTTAAGTATATTTATATGCCTTTCCTTTTTTTTTTTTTTTTTTGTTTCAGTCTGTGTGTGGCTTTTTGTGTTGGACGGTCTGGAGAAGTGATCGAGGAAAATATATCCACATACAAACGCCATTTGTATTACTCCATATTTTACTCTAGGCATTATCGATAGACATGTCGGGTGTGGTGGACCCTGTTGACGCGACGATTACACGGGATAGTTGGACCTGCCCGATTTGTACGGTGGAGGTTTCCCGGCAAAATGCCTTCTGCCAGGTCTGTTTGCGTTCTCGACCGATGGACCGTTGCGGTGTGCCCCAGATCTTTGCGGGGTGCAGGATTCACTTCAACGGAGTCATTCCACGTACCATCAAGCACCCAAGTCACTCTGTTGAATGGCGCATGGCTGAGCGTCACGGGGCGACATGCATCGTGGATTTTGACGTTTCACAAGTGAACGTGCTGGTATACCGCCCTGGATATGAGCGCAGTGACAAGGTACGGAGGTGCGTAGAAGGGGGAATCAGCAATGTTTTTGTAGTTCCTATTACATGGATGCTGGACTGCCTGCTACAGTCGCGTCAGATCCACGTTGGGCTATATCGCCTAACATCTATTCCAGCTGTGGCACAGCCCACTGGAAAAGGTCCCGTGCTTCCACACCATCAGCACCCCTACTACCTAATGAATGTGGAGGAGTACGCCATCCCAACGTCATTCTCGCAAAATAGGCAAAAGGAAGCAAATGGCTCTCCAAACAATGTTTTAGTGAACGCAAATGCAAATCTTCCACCTTGCTTTGAAGTCCCCGAACTGCAGTACACAAATGTTGACGTGTTCGAGGCCGTGTGCAACGCGCAAAAGGGTAAAGCAAGTGTAGAGGATGATCAGGAAAATTATGAAGATGCCCGTGAAACACGTAAGCGGGCGGCTAATATTGGGATTTTTAGCTGCGAACAACGACACAACCGTGTTGACAGTTTTCTGTTTAGCGGGATGAAATTTCTTCTAACCCCCTCGCTTGAGTCTAACCCCCACCTAACACGGGCACTTAAGCTGTGCGGAGCCCAAATAGTCTCTTCATCGGAAGGCAGCCTTGGAAAACTTTTAAGGACAGCTGTGACACACGTGCTGTACGACCATGGCGAGAAAAAGTGCGATGTTATGATAGAGGCAGCTAACGTTAAAAAGGAGCTACCTGGACTTACATTGGCAAAGGTCAACTGGGCAGAAGATTGTCTGATACTTGGAGAACTCGTCCCTCCATGCGGTCACTACGTCCCAACGGAAAAGCTGCTGGCTACACTCTCAAAGAAGTTTGCTAGACGGTGAGGATCGGCGTCTGAAATATATATATATATTTATATATATACGCCGTTTTTATTTCCGCTCCCTAATATTAACTGCCTGGGAGGTTATGTGTGTGCCTGTGCGGTATTTCCATTTTTGTGGAAAGGAAGAATTTGAGAACATCGACTTGTCTTCGTACCGTCCTCTGTAATTAGTGGAATATAGTTTGAATCACGCCTAAGAATGTGAGGAAAATATTTCTTTTTCATGTTTTATGATTCCAAATGAGTTGAATAAAGAGAACAGAGAGAGGATTTTCTTTCTATTCTTTATTAGCCTTTTTTGGGTATCTTTTCTGCTATTGACGTCAAATAAGGAAGGTGGAGGGACGCGGAATCCTTTGCGAGGGTGTTTTATGTTTTTTTTTTGTTTTATGTTGAACTCTTCTTTATATATGTATGTTGTCTTTATTCATCTTGCCCTCTCTTCTCTGACGGTTGACGTGGTATCACTGGGATCAAAAGCCTCACCCTTGTTGCATTCGGGAAGGATCACATAGCATTGCAGAAAAACGACACTTTTTTAAGAGAGAGAAAAAAAAAAAAAAAAAAAAAAAAAAGGAAGGAAACAGAAAGAATGGGTAGGTGGTGCCGTATGCTTTTGGGAGTTGTTTTGCGCGTTTTCATTGCTGTGTCTGTGCTTCTCGGTTGTGTTTTCGCCGAGGATTGCGAATTAGCGAGGCAACTGCGTGAGAATGAGATGAGGCTCTTCAACAACGTCGAGCTGTCGCAGAAATTGAAGTCCTCCCGAATCGGCTGCATCGCGTGGAATATGGGCTACTGGAGCTACGAGTTGTGTCCGGGTAGGTGGGTTCGGCAATACAGGGAGGTCAAAGAGGTGATAGTGGAGGAATACATTCTCGGCGTTCAGCACCGGTGGCGCCTTGTAGATGAAATAGGGTCACAGCTCCTGCAGTACAGTGATGGTTTTTATACCCTGCCCGACCGACTAAGGAGTGCCGGGACGACCATAGATGCAGAAAATCAATTGTATGCATGCGCCAAGGAAAGTAATAATAATAATAACAAACAAGTTGACGTGGTTTATCCTGATGGGTCTCCGTGTGGAAAGGGCTTTCGCCGTTTTTCACTTTTACATTTTGTGTGCAATGAAAATGTCCACTATCCGATCGTGAAACTAAAAGAACCCGCCATTTGCAAATATGATATAACAGTTGTAGCCTCAACCATTTGCGAAGCGATGCTTGGAAGCTTCCAGGCACAAATTGAACTGAATGATGCACATATGAGGTTTGCTATTTGAGGAAGTTGGAAAACTTATTCTTCTTTTTTATGTGTGTATCCTTATCCCTTGCTAACACCGCATATAAATTATTTGTGTACATTAACGAGAGAAGTAGAAGAGGTTTAGTGAAAAAGATGGAAATGGCATAAGCATTCCCGTGCTAAAATGGGATGCATTGGAGGTTCTGATGTGTATTTTTCTCCCCTTTATGTTCGCTATATATTTATTTGATCGGCGGGGGGTTCCTGTTGCCGCACTTCTCCACGTGAAATCCACACACTCGTTCTTGCATTTACTTCTAGGAGGAATATCTGGTAAAAAGAGGGGGAAAAAAGGGGGAGGGCAAGGGGAATTAAGAATGTTTCTGTTCATGGTGTTTGCCCTGGTGATTGCGGTTTTTATTGCCGTGTCACCGGCCGCCCAGGCCCTTCGCATGAAAATTGGCTCCTACATCAGTGGTGTGCAGTTTATGATGGTTGCCGACGACCTTCCGAAATCGTTTACCGGGAGTAACCACATGCAGATGAAGGCACCGGCAACAGAGGGATCCAAACGTGTCATCCGAGTAGTGTTTATTCGGCATGGGCAGTCTGTTTGGAATTCATTATTTAACTCGTTTGGAGCCTTATGGCCTTTACGTCTGGTAAAGGCGTTTGTTCGTGAAACGATTTATCTTTTTATGGATCCGTTTAACTCTGTTATCATCGATTCTCCACTAAGTTCCAAAGGAAACTTGGAAGCAGAGGAATTGGCCCAGTTCATACGTACATCCAAGGGCAAGATATCGTTTGACACAAACACATCACTTGTAGTTTGCAGCAACCTTCGACGGGCGATGGAAACTGCAGTTGTGGGCATGAGACCTCGTATCTCTTCTACACGGGAAAGAATTGTGGTGGACTCTTCGCTACAAGAGGGTTCCCGTAACATAGACGCACAGACACTTTCCACGGAGCGCGGGAAACTTGTTCCTTGTAAAATGGGCAAGTTGAATTTCTCGGAGCAGCTCGGTACAGTTTTTGATGCTCATCTGAATGCCGGTAACAAAACCTCGAAAATCAATGTATACGGGCGAATGGATGAATTTATTCGCCACCTATTCGATGGGTCTCAGCCGGACTCATATACGCCAGCCACATCTTCAGCACTCGGCAATGCAGAACTGAAGGAGGTCATTGTGATTGGGCATAGCAGCTATTTTCGTTGTTTTTTTTGCCGATTTTTGCCGTCATCATCCCAGCATATTGCGAAGAAAAAGAAGCTACGTAACTGTGGAGTTGTCGTCTTTGACCTTCTTCGCAACGAGTTCACCAATGAAATATTTATCGATGAATCATCAATCACCGTACTTTACAAGGGTTTCTGAGTTGTGTAACGAGTTTATCGATGCGGAAACACTGAGGATGGCCTGAACGACACACAAGGAGAGAAAGGGCATGCGTATATATATATATATATATATGTGTGTGTATGTCTGTGTCTGTCTGGGTGGGTGTCAATTGCTGTCATTTGTTTTGGACGTTCTTTTTTTGTGTTTGCGAAAGGGCGATACGACATAAGGGGAAAAGTTGAACAAAACCAAATGTTTGAACGCAGAAAAGGAGGGAGACGATGATGTTGATGTCAACGATGTGCGTGACCCTCTTTACCTCTGTACATTTATGATTCATGGAGCAGGCCGCGGGGTCTGCTTGCCCGCCTCTAAATTCAGTGTCATCTTTTTAGGCCTCACTCCTCTTTTTTTTAAAAAATAAAATAATAAATTCATTTATTTCTTTTCTACCTGTCCTTTGGGTAAGAAGATAACGGGTGAAAAAGACTGTTTATGACGACGGCACTTCTTCGGATTGCACGCCCGCCAGTTTCACGCCTTTTAGTTGCGGGGGCCCATTACCACACTGTGTCGGATGCACTGACAGAGGAGGAGCGGCGTCATTTGGAGCAGGAGCTGCCACCGCGGGAGCTTTTGAGTGAATTGCGAACTAAGGATCAACCACCGGATGGGGAAGGCGATGATGACGTGAAAGTACCGGGTGATTCCTTTGGTATCATGCGCAATCGTGTTGTCTTTTACAGGCCGATTCCACGGGAGGTGCATCCTGGAGCCCTTGGAGAGTTGTTTCCCGAGGGGTGTCACCCGATGCGCTCCGTCAATGCCGCGACTTTGAGGCGCCTCTGCGGACGGTTTGGCGTGAGTCTTGAGGAGGCGGCCGCCGCAATGTTAGAGGCAGAGCTTGAAATCAATTTTGCTGTAGATCTACTTGTGAGGCGCAAAGGAAT